GTTCAGTTTGGATTAAGATATTATTAAAAATACATCATGTTTTAAATTGGATTAATTACTTGAATAAGTCCCTTTTAATTAATAATTACTATTTTTAAACATATTTTTTAATTATTACCATTTATAGCAATATATAATAATATTATGTATACTTATTTTATTAGATCTATTATTTTCTCTTGCGCTCTTTTTCCATTTTTTTTCTATCTCTCGCTATTTTTTTATTTTCCTCCCTGGCCCTGCAGCCTCTCTGCACCCCCTCTCTCTCTCTATGCTTTTATTTCTTTCTTTTTCTCCCTGTACCTCCTCTATCTATGATTTTTCAATATTATAAAAAAAAAGTTAGACTTTTATCAAAGGCAAAAGACCTATAGAAAAGTTAGGGAAATTTTCAGAAATCGAAGAATTGGGGCTGCTTAGTTTATAGAAGAAGTCGATTAGTTTTTTATTTGTTGCTTTGGCGTTGTCGACGATTTTCATTCTAATGAAGGTTATATAAATAATTGTATTCATACCTGATGAAAATTTGAAGATTTGAATATTTGTATATATGAAGATTTGAAGATCGAATATTTGAATATATGAAGATATGAATGTTTGAAGATATGAAAGTTTGAATAAATGACGATATGATGTCATATTTGTGCCCCATACTTCCTCATTTCTAAAGGTGAATTCGCATGAGAAAGTTAGATTTAAGGATATGATGTTATCTTTGTAACAAATAAGAGACATAATAAACTGCAAAATGACTTAAACTTGAATTAAATATGTATTACACACATATTAAAGTTGAATTAAAAGAGAATTAAACATGAGTACAAAATGTAGCAAACGAAAGAACATTCTATGATTAGTAAACTGAATAAAATTTGTATCAATAATGAATTAAACAAGTAATCCAATCGTAACAAATCAACCAATAAACTGCAAAATGAATTAAACTTGTATTAAAAGTGTATTACACAAATAGTAAAGTTGAATTAGAAGAGAGAATTAAACATAAATAAAAGACGTAACTAATGAAGACCAGACATTGATCTATAGAGTGAATTAAACTTGTATCAATAATGAATTAAACAAGTAATTCAATCGTAACAAATCAATCAATAAACTGCAAAATGAATTAAATTTGCATTAAAAGTGTATTACACAATATTAAAGTTGTATTAGAAGAGAGAATTAAGAATTAATGAAAAACGTTACTAACGAAAGACGAGAGAATTATCTATAGACTGAATTCAACTTGTATTATTTATGAATAAAACATGTATTATATGTGTCTTATAAATTATTTTGATTGTATCACTAAGAACATGAATGATGTTTGTAATATGAATTATAAATGTATTATAAGTATGTTACCTAAATTATTTGGTTGGTATCAATAAGAAGAGAGTGAAGTTTGCAAATTATAAATGTATTGTTCACGATAAAACTTATGTTATATGTGTCTTGTAAATTATTTTGATTTGTGTCACTAAAAAAATGAGTAACGGTTGCAATATGTATTTAAAATGTATTGTGCATGTCTTAAAAATGTATTATTAATGTGTTACCTAAATTATTGTTGTTGGTATCACTGAGAAAGGAGTGAAGTGTGCAATATGTATTAAAAATGTATAATTCATGAATAAAACATGTATTAGATGTGTCTTATAAATTATTTTGATTTACTAAGAAAAAGAGCGTAGTTTGCAATATGTATTACAAATGTATTGTGTCTATATTGTAATGTATTACAACTGTGTTACCTAAATTATTTTAGTTGATATCACTAAAAAGGAAGTGAAATTTGCAATATGTATTATAAATGTATTATTCATGATTTAATTCAATTTTAATACAATTATGAAACATATATAATACAACTTTAATACAATTGAGATACAGTTCCGTAAACTTCATATTTTTCGAGCTTCAATCTAATATTTCTCCTAAAATCAATTCTAAACTTAACCAAACCCTGTTAAACTTGAGAAATAAACTCCAAATGATATTTTCAATTATTTGTAGGAACAACCTATTTAAACTAATCACAAATTCATAAAATTTAAATAATGAATTCAAAATTTGAAGTTTTATAATGACCATCAATGGTGAACTCTTGATGTTGTGATTTTAGAGATTTGAAATTCCTACTTGAGCACATGATTCTTATCGTATTTTTGGGTGAAATTGCGATATATGGGCAAAAACCAATTTGAAGATATTTCTTTAAATGAAAATTTCAAAGAAAAAGAAGAAGATAAGCAAGAGAAAAAATGGCAGAGAAAGAGGGAAAGAAGCGGGATAGAAAGGCTTTCACTGTACAATTTTTTAATTCCAAATAATTGCTATATCAAGTTAGAAATATTATATTGCCATAGATGGTAAATATTTTCTTATTATTGCATAGTTATGTGATTTACCCAATTTAAATTTAGAATCTAGTGCTATGTATCATTAATTCTTATGAGGATTTTTTTTGTAGTTTTGTAGTCACCGATCCTAATCACATTTAGTCAACTCTGTAGGATAGATCTCGACAATAGTGTGAATTACATTGCAAATAATTTGTAATGAAAATGTTCTTATAAGTGCAAGAATTTATTTAAAGTTACATTACAGTAACTCATGACTATTTGTTACCATGTAGTTTATTCATTCTTAGTAAAAATGTTATATTTTATTATATGTGATCTAGGTGAGAAAGAATTATATTTTTTCCACCGTATTTAGCTCATTTTTCAATTTGGTTCTAAGTATCATTTCTCATCTTGTGTGTAGTGCACTATCCTTTTAAGGACTTGATATGATTTCTTCTTAGTAATCCTTTTAAGTATAGTAAATTGTTAGGGAGATATGTGTTAATTTATTAATTACTCTCAAGCTTAAACTCACTGCTTGCATCAATTGCTCACTATTAAATAGCCGTATTTGCTTTGGTGTTTGTAAGTACGTTGTGATGGGGTTTAGACTATATTAAGTCAAGGTCAATTAGTTTAATCATAAGAAGAGGGGATGAAATGCAAATTTATGTCAAATCATGTGGTCCGAGAAAAGAGCTGAAAAGTTCTCCTCTTTTTTCATGTGCTTACTGTAATTAAGAGTTTTTTTTTAGTACTCTTATCAATTTATAATTTTTGTTTGATTAGTTAAGCTTTAAGAACATACCTACTCTCACCTCTTTAAATATTATTACATGTACGTCGGTTGGAATGCAATCACAACGAGTGGAGAATTCAACGCATGAAGACGAGTTCAAGTTGAATCATCACCTCGAAAGGGGGCATCAGGTATGCCTTGGGAGATGATGAAACAAGACATGCTATAGCTGACTTCTCATATGAAGCACATTACCACTTTATAAGAATAAAACTCATTGTTACTCCATTATTATTCTCATTTTATATGTCACCCTTTTAAAAATCTCAAAGACTTGACAACTTTTATATTTTTTGTTAAATTATCAACAAAGTTTCACTAAATAAAAAAAAATCAAGTATAAACATTTTTAACTTTTACATGACTTCTGAAATATCAAAATATTTTATTTAGTTCTCCCGAATAACCTCTTTAAGAACTCTTTTCGTCTTGTCTTAAGACGTTTAAGAAGGTTGATCATAAAAGTAGAATAGAGGGAGTAACATCGCATTGGGCCCATTTTTAGCCTTGTCATATCTGATCCCGTCTCTCTCTCTCTCAACTTTAACTTTATGTATTATTGCTTTATTTAAATTTCTATGTTGAGCGATATATATTAAGCATTTAGTTTGGAAGCAACAAGGTTAGTTTCTCAATTCAGAATCTTCTAATTTTCAATTATGTTTCTCCTTTTATTTATGTTACTTTAAGTATTCTATTGGAAGCAATCAAATTAGTCTCTTTCCTCTTTTATTAAATTGAATTCGTGAATTTGGTGGCGTTACTAGTTTGTATGTATCATTGATTGTAATCCTTGTCTATAGTTGCATGCTAAATAAATTCATTTTGTCTTATAATGTTATGTGTTTGGGGATAGCTAGAATTACGATATCTTTAGAATATGATGATTTTTGCCCCCGTAATAAATTCATAGATTAGTTTAACCTATTTTTAGCATGTTATAAGTATAATTTCTCTTATTTGATTAGTTGACTATTTCAAACCTCTTTAATTAAATTGAGAATTTGGTTCCTTACTTTATAACTTAGTCTAGATAGCTTAGTTAATAAACCAATAAATGAAGTGACCTTATTTGCTACTTGTAACCCCACATATTGCATGAGATACGGCCGGGACCCACATTTGTAACTTGAACCCTCTTACCTTGATCTCTGGTTCGTTGACCTTAGCTAGACTTAGTTAGGTTAGATAGGTGCCCTAACGCGCCTTAATTCGTTAGGTGGCGACTCTTCATTTCCCAAAGCCCAAAAGAATTGTTAGGTCGTGCATCTGAAAGGAAAGTCCATTTTGAGAAAAACGGGGCGCGACAACCTCTCTTTATTAATGTGCATATTTATTGTTGTTAAAGACTATTTTTATGATTTTTGTTTTTTTCTTAGGGCTTGAATTGGATTGACATAAATGAAACTTCTTGTGGTCCACTTTTCATGTGCTAAGTTTTTTCAAAGTCGAGAAGTAGCTAATTTATTTTTATTATATATAGAATAGTCTCACCAGTCCGTAGATTAGTCTATACGCGCATAAAATGTTCACATCAATTTAAATAATTTATCATGATTAAATAATAAATTAAGGTAATAATATGTATGTAATTGACTATTTGTGAAGATATATGACATATATTTATTAGATGATATAAGTAAATTTTATCTACTAAATTTTGTGGACTTTATTTACCATGATATTAATTAAGTGTGCTGAATTTTGCAATCTGAAAAGTTTAAAAGATCGGGCATGATGGTAATAAAGCACGTGCTAATACGAGTCGATGATAAAAATCAATATATTTGGATGAAAGAAAATATACCTATTTGAAATAGGAACACACACATAGGTAATAGAAAAATACTCAGAAGTATATTACAATAAGAATAATTGAATGAAGGTTTTTTTTCCTTCCAAGAATAACCTATTTGTATGGCTACTTTTGTTAGCAAGTCCACTTTAAACTAACTAAAACAAGGAATAAGAGGATCAAAGTTAATCTAATCGAAAGCTCTGGCGATTCATCGAGCTCAAAATGATCCAATTGAACACAATGGATTATGGTACAGTAGTAGAATGATCGTTAAAAGGGGCTAACACTTCGAGCCATCTTCAACATGAACTCAGGTACAAGTCATTTTCTTGGAGTCGAATTTGCTCTGATGGTTTCAGAGCTATCACCATGAATCAGCGTAATTAGATCATCTAACATATCATCTATTCCACTTCTCATTGGATCCTAAACGTTAGCAAAGCAAGAATCAGAAGGGAAATAATCAAACGCGAATAAAGGAAGGACTATAATGTGTATAAGAACTTTTCGCGATATAAGAAAATGAGGCATCAGTTACCTGAAGAAACAAATTTGTATGTGTCTTTCCTTCATAGAGGATACATTCTGCTTTGACACCGAGAGCTTTAAGAGTATCAGCAAAACTCTTGCTGGATTGAGTGAAATAGCAAACTTTGCAAAAGATGTTTCGATCTACACAGTATATATACTATTTGAAAAGAATAACTGTGTTACTCTGTTAGAATAGCGTAAAACAAGCACATGGCATTTCGAAAGAAAGTCCTCCTAATTGAAGGTCAAATGTCTACTGTTCATCTCATCGATACATTATCCAACTAGTTTGGACCTTGTGGAGATCATTTTACCGGCTACCTTTGCATACTACATGCAACCACTAGCTTCTTGAATATGCAAGCTAAAAGCTAGCCCACCAACTATAATGGCATCACTAGAATCTTATCTTCAATCATTAGAAGTTAACCCCTTTCTTTGTTCTGTATGACTGTATTGCGTGTAAGTTCAGGTATAATCGGTTGCCTTCTCATTTCACTTCTCATTCATCTTACACTACTTCCAATAACACATTAAACAACATGAAAGGTGAAATAAGACAGGTGACTTACTCATTAGTATGATTGGTCTTTACTATCACCTGAAGTATAATTGATCGTAAACTCTATAAGGAAACAAACTCCCAACTAGTGTTGTCTCCAAAGCTGCCAAAACCATGGTTACATGTAATGCTAGACCACTTATAAATTTTGAGCTGGTATAAACTGTCTAATTTTACTCTCACTATTAGGAAAAAGTCTCATTATTTCCCTTGCCCCCTAACGGCGCTCCAACCGGTAATTATAACCCATAGACAAAAGTTGAGGAATAAATTTGAACCTATTTTTTCTTGAAGAGTTTAGCATGTGCATATTAGATCTCTGTTAATGGTAAAGGACAAATGCATAAAATAGTCGCCACTAATAGTACCTTTTAGTCGCCACTAATATTTAAAATAGTCGACACTAATAGTACATTTTAATGGCAACATTAGTCGCCGCTAAAACTTAAAATGGTCGCCACTAATAGTCTCTTTTAATCGCTGCTAAAACTTCAAATAGTCGCCACTAATAGTCTCTTTTAGTGGCAACATATGTCGCCGCTAATACTTATAATAGTCGCTACTAAAAGTATCTTTTAGTGGCAACATCTGTCGCCGCTAATACTTATAATAGTCGCTACTAAAAATATATTTTAGTTGCAACATTAGTCGCCACTAATAGTACCTTTTAGTGGCAACATTAGTCGCTTCTAATAGTACCATTTAGTGGCAACATTAATCGCCGCTAATACTTAAAATTGTCACGCCCCGAGCTACCCCCGAGACGCGTACATGGGACCTAGGACCACAAATGATCCCAAGCTAACCCTACTGGCATGATCATGAGCATACTCAGGATAATAAACTGATGCGGAAGCTAAATCATAAATAAAATGAAAAGATGGGGAATAACCATATAATATAACTGAGATAAATGATAACTGATGAGTTTAATACAAAGAAAATATTAACTCAATACTAAGCTAAATCTAACTATGTCTGAAATAAGCCTCTAAACTGACTAGAAATGTTGGGACATGCCCCAACTAGATCTAGCAAAACTGAAACTAAAGACTAAAAGCGATAAAGATAAACATATCACTAGTCCTCGAAGAATGATGACTCACCACTGATGCTGCTGAACTGAAGATCGGGAATCTATCTAAGCGTGATCTGAATTCTGAGAACCTGAACCTTCATCACGAGAAGATGTAGCACACGTTTGCGTCAATACTTGAAAGGTACTGAGCATGCAAGATAGGGTAAAACTGAAAGAACATATAACTGAACAAAACAATAAAGCAATGAAATAATCTTGACATAATATATATACTGAATACCGAGCTAACTGAATGCAATGACCAATTTATGACATGCTGACTGAATACTGAATGAACTGTAAATGTGGTCAATGCAATAGAGTTTGACTGAACTGTGGGAGTTACTAATAACCGACAATAAAACCACATAAGTTAAATGTGGAGTCCGATGTATACGCCTCATCGAGAGGACCCAATATACCCGGCCAAAGGTATAAAGGCATGGTTGGCGTGATCACTAAACTGATGTTGCCCACAGAAGGGACTTACACCTATGTGGCTCGTAGTTCTGGGACTATATGGGTACGCTGAACCCTAGTCCAACTCAGTATTATGCTACTCCCAATGAATTAAGTGGTTAACTCGTTATGACTGAATTTCTGTAAATACTGGATAGCTCAAAACTGAACATGCAAACTGAGAACGCAACAATTAATCTGATAATGATGCATTAATAACTGAGGCATGTATAATTGAATAACTGAGATATCTGACCTAGCATGTGTAATTCAAGAACTAAAGAAATACATAACTAGGGTTCTGAAATTCATGCAATAAACTGAGTAATAACGTGATAATCTAATTTGGAACATTTAAATAACTAATTCATGATGATCTGTTGAAATTCTAGAAACCCTAGGTTTGGTCATAATCATGGAATCAAGAATCTGACTGAATTCTAGGGACCTAATGGGCGAAAGGAAGCCACTAGTGAAGTCCCACATACCTGGTGACGAATTCCATGGAGAAATTCTTAGATTTTGGGGCTGGAACTGATGGAACCTTGCTGCGTTCTTGAACTAGGGTTCTTGACCTTTTTCTCCTCTCTTGCATATATTTTTCTAAGTTTTGATTAATGATTTGACTTGGATAAGTTCTAGTTATGTTTCTAAGCTTAAACTGACTAAAACATCATGATTTAGGGTCTAAACGACGTACTTTATAGGTTAAACGAAATAGGAAAAGACCAAAAGACCCCTAACTTAATTGTTGGCGGAGTGATTGACGGATTGGACTGACGGGCCGTAGGTCAATTAACGGTCCGTCAATTGGAATCATCGGTCGAGTCTACCCTACAAGGCTTCAATAAAACCAGCATAACGTTTTACTCGGATGTCGAATTTTAGCAAACTCGGTGGCGTTGGAAAGAGGATTCAATTATATATCATATCATAGGTCATGTGACACATAATTCCTTTTATGCTAAGAGTGATTACCATCTGAAGTTGACCAACACAATAATTTTCCTCTAACTGGTTGCTGACCCAGACCTACGGACCGTAGGTCAAACGACGGTCCGTGTTGGTCGAATGTAGTTCGTGTCAGAGGCTGGATAAAAGAGTCTTGATCCACGGACACAATCCACGGACCGTGGTCTGTCCTACAGACCGTGGGTCTATCCGTGACTCGATACTTAGCTGATTTTCTGAACTGGGTTTAGGGAAGGGTTGCAGTGGTGAACCACGGACCACCAGCACGAGCCACAGTCTGACCTACGATCCATGGATGGCAACCGTGGGTTGCACCTGGAACTTCTCAAAATCTGCATTTTTTGGTCTGTTTCGAATACGGGGTGTTACAAAAATAGTCACCACTACTAGTACCTTTTAGCCGCTGCTAATATTTAAAATAGTCGCCACTAATAATATCTTTTAGTGGCAACACTAGTCACCGCAAATATCTATAATAGTTGCCACTAATAGTGGCAACACTAATCACCAAAAATCTATAGACCGTATCACCAAAAATCCATCGGTAAAATTTAGGTTTTCCCTATCTCGGTCTCGTTTGAACTTTAAAATGTAGACGTTTGCCCTTTCGGACAAACTCACGCCATTAATAAGGTTTTAACGTATTGCCACAAAAAATTTCAACCAGAATCCCGTCTCACCAAAAGTCCATGGACTATATAGCACATGAAAAAGGATAAAATTTGGGTTTTCCCGCTCTAGGCCTAGTTTAAACTTGAAAATGTAAATGTTTGCCCCTCTGGACCAACTCACGCCATTAATAAGTACTTAACGGACGCCTACAAAAAATTTCGATGAAAAACTCATCGGAATTTCGTATCACCAAAAATTCCCAGATTATAGCACACGAAAAACTGTAAAATTCATGTTCTCCCTCTCTGGGCCTCATTTCAACTTGAAAATGCAGACATTTGTCACTCCGGACCAACTCAAACATTAATAAGGTTTTAACGAACGCCTACAAAAAATTTCGATCAAAAACTCGTTGGAATTTCGTATCACCAAAAATTCTCAGACTATAGCACACGAAAAACTGTAAAATTAAGGTTTTCCCGCTCTGGACCTCGTTTGAACTTGAAAATGCAGACATTTGCCCCTCCAGACCAACTTACACCATTAATAAGGTCTTAATGAACGCCTACAAAAACCCACCGGAATCATGTTTCACCAAAAATTCATGGAATATAGCACACAAAAAGTGGTAAAATTTGGATTCTTTCGCTCTAGGCCTCGTTTGAACTTGAAAATGCAGACGTTTGCCCCCTGCGCACCAACTCACGCCATTAATAAGGTCTTAACGGACGCCTACAAATAATTCGGCCAAAAACCCGTCTGAATTCCATATCACCAAAAATTCATGGACTATAGCACACGATAAATGGTAAAATTCAGATTTTCCCGTACTACACTTCATTTGAACTTGAAAATGCAGACGTTTACCCCTCCGGACCAACTCACGCCATTAATCACCTCCATTTTTTCTTTTTCTTTTTTCTGGGGTGGGGGTGGGGGGAGGCTTGGGCTAACATTTATAGGAAACTTACATATCCTTCGATAACTAGTTTATCGATATGATTTAAATATGTATTATTTAAATATTTTTGTTGTATATGTACTATATATATATTATGTATATGATATATATACTATATATATACTTTGATATATGAATATGTATACATGTTTAGTATAAAATAAATACCATACGTTATATATTGTATATATATTTTATAAATTAGATGACCGAATGATAGTTGGTTGTAATTTTCTGTATATTTAATTATAATATTTTACTTGGTCAAGTCCTCTCAAGTTGATGACTATGATGTTTTCAGTCTTGAATAAGTTTGTTTGGTCAAATTTCTAAAATTAACTTATTTTGAAAAGTGTTTTATTTTTTGTGAGAGGTTATTTTTGTGTATGACTAATCAATTTATAAAAATACTTGTAAGTAGCAAATCAATCGAGCTACTAAAATCTCTGTATGTTAAGAAATGAAACTTGGGTCCGACTCAAATGGTCTTTAACAACAATTAATTAACAGTAATAGCTAATTGCCGCTAAATATGTACTTTTAAAGGCAATTATTAACACTCATTATAAATGTCCCTAAAACTTATAGCGACATTTGATCCAATGACAATTAACTAATGTCAGTAAAAGTTTTACCTCTCTTTATTAATGTGCATATTTATTGTTGTTAAAGACTATTTTTATGATTTTTGTTTTTTTCTTAGGGCTTGAATTGGATTGACATAAATGAAACTTCTTGTGGTCCACTTTTCATGTGCTAAGTTTTTTCAAAGTCGAGAAGTAGCTAATTTATTTTTTTTATATATAGAATAGTTTCACCAGTCCGTAGATTAGTCTATACGCGCATAAAATGTTCACATCAATTTAAATAATTTATCATGATTAAATAATAAATTAAGGTAATAATATGTATGTAATTGACTATTTGTGAAGATATGTGACATATTTATTAGATGATATAAAAGTAAATTTTATCTACTAAATTTTGTATGGACTTTATTTGCCATGATATTAATTAAGTGTGCGGAATTTTGCAATCTGAAAAGTTTAAAGGGTCGGGCGTGATTGTAATAAAGCACGTGCTAATACAAGTCGATGATAAAAATCAATATATTTGGATGAAAGAAAATATACCTATTTGAAATAGGAACACACACATAGGTAATAAAAAAAATACTCAGAAGTATATTACAATAAGAATAATTGAATGAAGGTTTTTTTTCCTTCCAAGAATAACCTATTTGTATGGCTACTTTTGTTAGGAAGTCCACTTTAAACTAACTAAAACAAGGAATAAGAGGATCAAAGTTAATCTAATCGAAAGCTCTGGCGATTCATCGAGCTCAAAATGATCCAAGTGAACACAATGGATTATGGTACAGTAGTAGAATGGTCGTTAAAAGAGGCTTACACTTCGACCCATCTTCAACATGAACTCAGGTACAAGTCGTTTTCTTGGAGTCGAATTTGCTCTAATGGTTTCAGAGCTATCACCATGAATCAGCGTAATTAGATCATCTAACATATCATCTATTCCACCTCTCATTGGATCCTAAACGTTACCAAAGCAAGAATCAGAAGAGAAAAAATCAAGCGCGGATAAAGGAAGGACTATAATGTGTATAAGAACTTCAAGCAAATGAGGCATCAGTTACCTGAAGAAACAAATCTGTATGTGTCTTTCCTTCATAGAGGATACATTCTGCTTTGACACCGAGAGCTTTAAGAGTATCAGCAAAACTCTTGCTGGATTGAGTGAAATACGTACATCAGCAAACTTTGCAACAGATGTTTGGATCTATACAGTATATATACTATTTGAAAAGAATAACCGTGTTACTCTGTTAGAATAGCACAAAACAAGCACATGGCATTTCGAAAGAAAGTCCTCCTAATTGAAGGTCAAATGTCTACTGTTCATCTCAACGATACATTATCCAACTAGTTTGGACCTTTTGGAGATCATTTTATGTACTACATTTCCATAAAAAATGTAGCCACTATGTTCTACGATTAATTAACCAGTTTTGCTCTGCTCCATAGTTTATGTATCTAAGTTCTAACAACTTATATCCTAGTGACATAGGCTGGCTGCATCCAGTGGAAATGCCTCAAAATGGAGAATTTATGCATCAAGGGAGAACTTATGATCTAAGACACAATAACCTGGCATGGAAAATGTTGGAATCTTTTGGTGGCAACATTAGTCGCCACTAATAGTCACTTTTAGTGGCAACATCTGTCGCCGCTAATACCTATAATAGTCGCTACTAAAAGTATATTTTAGTTGCAACATTAGTCGCCACTAATAGTACATTTTAGTAGCAACATTAGTCGCTAATAATAGTACCATTTAGTGGCAACATTAGTTGCCGCTAATACTTAAAATTGTCACACCCCGAGCTACCCCCGAGACGCGGACATGGGACCTAGGACCACAAATGATCTCAAGCTAACCCTACTGGCATGATCATGAGCATACTAAAGATAATAAACTGATGCGGAAGTTAAATCATAAATAAAATGAAAAGATGGGGAATACTCATATAATATAACTGAGATAAATGATAACTGATGAGTTTCATACAAAGAAAATATTAACTCAATACTAAGCTAAATCTAACTATGTCTGAAATAAGCCTCTAAACTGACTAGAAATGTTGGGACATGCCCCAACTAGATCTAGCAAAACTGAAACTAAAGACTAAAAGCGATAAAGATAAACATGTCACTAGTCCTCAAAGAATGAGGACGCACCACTGATGCTGCTGAACTGAAGATCGGGAATCGATCTAAGCGTGATCTGAATTCTGAGAACCTGAACCTACATCATGAGAAGATGTAGCGCACGTATGCGTCAATACTTGAAAGGTACTGAGCATGCATGATAGGGTAAATCTGAAAGAACATATAACTGAACAAAACAATAAAGCAATGAAATAATCTGGACATGATAGAGATACTGAATACTGAGCTAACTGAATGCAATGACCAATTTATGACATATTGATTGAATACTGAATGAACTGTAAATGTGGTCAATACAATAGAGTCTGAGTGAACTGTGGGAGCTACTAATAACCGACAATAAAACCACATGAGCTAAATGTGGAGTCTGATGTATACGCCCCATCGAGAGGACCCAATATACCCGGCCAAAGGTATAAAGGCATGGTTGGCGTGATCACTAAACTGATGTTGCCCACAAAGGGGACTTACACCTACGTGGCTCATAGTTCTGAGACTAGAAGGGTACGCTGAACCCTAGTCCAACTCGGTATTATGCTACTCCCAATGAATTAAGTGGTTAACTCGTTATGACTGAATTTCTGTAAATACTGGATAGCTCAAAACTGAACATGCAAACTGAGAATGCAACAATTAATCTAATAATGATGCATTAATAACTTAGGCATGTATAATTGAATAATTGAGATATCTGACCTAGCATGTGTAATTCAAGAACTAAAGAAATACATAGCTAGGGTTCTGTAATTCATGCAATAAACTGAGTAATAACGTGATAATCTGATTGGAACATTTAAATAACTAATTCATGATGATCTGTTGAAATTCTAGAAACCCTAGGTTTGTTCATAATCATGGAATCAAGAATCTGACTGAATTCTAGGAACCTAATGGGCGAAAGGAATCCACTAGTGAAATCCCACATATATGGTGACGAATTCCACGGAGAAATTATTAGATTTTGGGGATGGAACTGATTGAACCTTGTTGCGTTCTTGAACTAGGGTTCTTGACCTTTTTCTCCTCTTTTTGCTTCTAATTTCCTAAGTTTTGATTAATGATTTGAGTTGGATAAGTTCTAGTTATGTTTCTAGGCTTAAACTGACTAAAACCTCATGATTTAGGTTCTAAATGACGTACCTTATGCGTTAAATGAAATAGGAAAAGACCAAAAGACCCCTAACTTAATTGTTGTTGGAATGACCGCCGGATTAGACTGACAGGCCGTAGGTCAATCGACGGTCCGTCGATTAGAGTCATCGGTTGAGTCTACCCAACAGGGCTTCACTAAAACCAACCTAACGTTTTACTCGGATGTGGGATTTTAGCAAACTCGGTGGCGTTGGAAAGAGGATTCAATTATATATCATATCATAGGTCATGGGACACATAATTCCTTTTGTGCTAAGAGTTATTACCATCTGATGTTGACTCACTCAATAATTTTCCTCTAATTGGTTGTTGACCCTCACCACGGTCAGACCTACGAACCGTAGATCAAATGACGGTCCGTGCTGGTCGACCGTAGTTCGTGTCAGAGGCTGGATAAATGAGTCTTGATCCACGAACACAAACCACAGACCGTGGGTCTATCCACGACTCGAGACTTAGCCGATTTTCTGAGCTGGGTTTAGGGAAGGGTTGTAATGGTGAACCACGGACCACCAGCATGGGCCATGGTCTGACCTACGGTTCGTGAATGGCAACCGTGGGTTGCACCTAGAACTTCTCAAAATCTGCATTTTTTTGTCTGTTTCGGATACGGGGTGTTACAAATATAGTAGCCACTAATAGTACCTTTTAGTCGCTGCTAATATTTAAAATAGTCGCCACTAATAGTATCTTTTAGTCGCTGCTAATATTTAAAATAGTCGTCACTAATAATATCTTTTAGTGGCAACACTAGTCGCCAAAAATATCTATAATAGTTGCCACTAATAGTTTTTTCTGTGGCAACACTAATCACCAAAAATCTATAGACCGTATCACCAAAAATCCATCGGTAAAATTTGGGTTTTCCCGATCTGGGCCTCGTTTGAACTTTAAAATGTAGACGTTTTCCCTTTCGGATAAACTAACGCCATTAATAAGGTTTTAACGTATTGCCACAAAAAATTTTGGCCAGAATCCCGTCTCACCAAAAGTCCATGGACTATATAGCACATGAAAAACGATAAAATTTGGGTTTTCCCGCCCTAGGCCTCGTTTAAACTTGAAAATGTAGATATTTGCCCCTCTAGACCAACTCATGCCATTAATAAGGTCTTAACGGACGCCTACAAAAAAATTCGATCAAAAACTCGTGAGAATTTCGTATCACCGAAAATTCTCAGACTATAGCACACGAAAAACTGTAAAATTCATGTTCTCCTGCTCTGGGCCTCATTTCAACTTGAAAATGCAAACATTTGTCGCTCCGGACCAACTCACAACATTAATAAGGTTTTAACGGACGCCCACAAATTTTTTTTAGCCAAAAACCAGCTGAAATACCGAATCACCAAGAATTCATAGACTATAGCACACGAAAAAAGGTAAAATTAAGGTTTTCCCGCTCTGGACCTCGTTTGAACTTGAAAATGCAGATGTTTGCCCCTCCAAACCAACTCACACCATTAATAAGATCTTAAGGAACGCCTACAAAAACCCGTCGGAATCATGTATCACCAAAAATTCATGGACTATAGCACACAAAAAATGGTAAATTTTGGATTCTCCCGCTCTAGGCCTCGTTTGAACTTGAAAATGCAGACGTTTGCCCCCTGCGCACCAACTCACGCCATTAATAAGGTCTTAACGAACGCCTACAAAATAATTCGGCCAAAAACCCGTCTGAATTCCATATCACCAAAAATTCATGGACTATAGCACACGAAAAATAGTAAAATTCAGATTTTCCTGCTCTACACTTCGTTTGAACTTGAAAATGCAGACGTTTACCCCTCCGAACCAACTCACACCATTAATCACCTCCATTTTTTCTTTTTTCTATTTTCTGGGGTGGGGGTGTGGGGGAGGCTTGGGCTAACATTTATAGGAAACTTACATATCCTTCGCTAACTAATATATCGATATGATTAATATATGTATTATTTAAATATTTTCGTTGTATATGTACTATATATATTATGTATATGATATGTATAATATATATATATATATACTTTGATATATGAATATGTATACATGTTTAGTATAAAATAAATACCATACGCTATATATTGTATATATATTTTATAAATTAGATGACCGAATGATATTTGGTTGTAATTTTCTGTATATTTAATTTATAATATTTTACTTGGTCAAGTCCTCTCAAGTTGATGACTATGATGTTTTCAATCTTGAATAAGTTTGTTTGGTCAAATTTCTAAAATTAACTTATTTTGAAAAGTGTTTTATTTTTTGTGAGAGGTTATTTTTGTGTATGACTAATCAATTTATAAAAATACTTGTAAGTAGCAAATCAATCAAGCTACTAAAATCTCTGTATGTTAAGAAATGAAACTTGTGTCCAACTCAAATGGTCTTTAACAACAATTAATTAACAGTAATAGCTTAATTGTCGCTAAATATGTACTTCTAAAGGCAATTATTAACACTCTTTATAAATGTCCCTCAAGCTTATAGCGACATTTGATCCAATGACAATTAACTAATGTCAGTAAAAGTTTTACCTCTCTTTATTAATGTGCATATTTATTGTTGTTAAAGACTATTTTTATGATTTTTGTTTTTTTTTCTTAGGGCTTGAATTGGATTGACATAAATGAAACTTCTTGTGGTCCACTTTTCATGTGCTAAGTTTTTTCTAAGTTGAGAAGTACCTATACGCGCATAAAATATTCATACGCGCATAAAATATTCATAAAATATGTACCCAGAAAAGGCATAGATTAGTCTATACGCGCATAAAATGTTCACATCAATTTAAATAATTTATCATGATTAAATAATAAATTAAGGTAATAATATGTATGTAATTGACTATTTGTGAA